GGTTGGAAGTCAAAGTGTTTTAACCATCAAACTTGTGTAAGATTTTCGAGCAATTATTGACTAGCTGCTTCCGATTATTGGATATATTTTTGAAACCATGAATCGATCAATGTTAGACTGTAGTGCCTCCACATATATTCCAGTTCTCTTACATCTAACTTGGTTAATCCCTTTCGATTAATTTATTTAACCAAGCCATTCGCTTAGCAACAACTTGTATGTACCATTGTTATTTTTTATTATCTGCTTTGTATGAGCTTGTACGACTGAGCATTGCTTACGCTTACGCACTTACTCATCCTTTTCGCTTTAATGTTAATCTCGTAATTTTCCCATGAACTCACATGATTTGTATCGCTTGCATTTGACCTTGTCAATCATTCGTCGCTTTTATTCATGTGTGTGCATACCTATTTCGCTTGTCATATGTCTGTCTTATTTTTGGTCTGACTATATATTCTTAGTCATGCTCTATCTCTTTGAGTTGGCTCAACAGCCTTCTCCTATTCGCTTCTTCAATTCGATTTGTGGTGTGCCTCGAATAAACGTATTCATCAATATGAGTTCACCTTCTGATTTATAAACGGAGCTATAAGAACACGCAGTTATCGGCACACTACATAATGGTGATCCCGCCGTTCTCAGGATGTTTCCTGATGCCGACGAAAAATCGAACGCTTCCAATTAATTGGTAATTTCGACGTAGAATCGAATGCAATCATTCTTCCGTGCATTCGCTCGCCAGTGCACTACAAAATGGTTATCCCGACGTCAGCGAAATCGGCCACCATACAAAATGTGAATCCGTCGTTCATTCATATCACTCCCTATTTGCTTCGCTCGATTCATTCGTCCATACGTCTTCACAGAAGATCAGTAAACTCTCACTACATAACTCGACGATTCCGATGACAAATCGAATATAACCAACCAGTTGGTAATTTCGAGGACAAATCGAACAGAACCACTAACTGGAAATCCCGACGCCATGCAGCGACAAAGCAGCTCTCGTACTTAATGCATTAGCTGAACGAATCAAGCATTATCTTATCGTCATTTTCGATTATGTACCAACTCGTTGCATTAATATATTTCTCGAATTATCGCTATCATTATCGTATTAATGTGAAGGAACCATTATTATGATTAATCATGATATTATGACAATAATGGAATTATCTTAATCGCTAATCGAATCGCATTACGAATATTGTATTCACGGCACGACATTTGTAACTCACGGAATTATTTTACTTCTTTCGATACCACGAACGACATTCATGATTAAGGTGAGTTCATTCCATTTATTTTGCCGTATAGCATTATTATGTTTCGAATCGCTTATCAAAGCAATGGCTCAACGACATTTAACATCCATTAATATTTCCGTGGCTATATGATTATCGAATTGGAGATATATTCGATGTACTCATCAGCTGCTCGTACTCGAAAATTTTGCAGCCTGCTAAGTAAATTGGTGGTATGATCTTACGCACATGCACACGAAGCAGCAGTTCAAGCAGTCGAGCGAACCTCCTGCACGCTGATATTAGCATGTTTTTCGACTACCCCAACGCTGGCAACGGTTTGCAACGCTATCATACACATAAGTTTGGAGTCATATACTCAATGGTAATAACTTATGTTTTCGATATGCATTTAATAACCATGCATCGCATCTGTACGCAGCTTTATTCTCCAAATTTTTCCCACGATAATCTCGACCGAAATTTCTTCACCAATCTGCAGCCACTCGATTTATCGATGAGCCTTCCCGTAATGTCTATGTGATTATCGAATTCCGTCTTAACTGTCATGCCTAAACGATATTAAATATTTTGCAGCATTTGTATTACATTTTCGTATCGTACAACTGCTCCTAATGTATTCTATTCTAAATCGATTATTTTTGCTAATAACCGCTTACCACATATTTTTGATCTGTTACTATGCGAACTTACGAACGTACCCGGACAAGGTAACTTTAATTTTCCTACCTTTTGATGCATTCCGACTATTATGACTTTTTTTTCGCAAACACAGACACTTTAGTATCCTTGTTTGCTGGAAGGGGGCTATTGTAGTGCCCCCACATATATTCCAGTTCTCTTACATCTAACTTCGTTAAGCACTTTCGATTAATTTATTTAACCAAGCCATTCGCTTAGCAACAACCTGTATGTACCATTGGTATTTTTTATTATCTGCTTTGTATGAGCTTGTACGACTGAGCATTGCTTACGCTTACGCACTTACTCATCCTTTTCGCTTTAGTGTTAATCTCGTATTTTTCCCATGAACTCACATGATTTGTATCGCTTGCATTTGACCTTGTCAATCATTCGTCGCTCTTATTCATGTGTGTGCATACCTATTTCGCTTGTCATATGTCTGTCTTATTTTTTATCGGACTATATATTCTTAGTCATACTCTATCTCTTTGAGTTGGCTCACTAGCCTTCTCCTATTCGCTTCTCCACGTCGCTTCTCCAATTCGATTTGTGGTGTGCCTCGAATAAACGTATTCATCAATATGAGTTCACCTTCTGATTTATAAACGGAGCTTACGAACACGCAGTAAATCGGCACACTACAAGACCACCGTTAGAAACCCGGAATCACTGGATGGCCGTTTCGTCCTGGTATGAGACTCCTCAGCAGTGCGCATCCACGACTCCTGCACCCCGCAGGATCCGAACCTAGGACCTTCGGTATTGTGCGCGAACGCCCTAACCGATAGACCACTGAGCCGGTATCTAACGGTGTTAATGTCTAACTTGATCATATTCACGGAGTTGCGCAACCTCATACACAGTCTTCGATAGTTACTGTCTACACCCGAACAGGTTGAACTTCACTGGTCACGTCTTCCCACTAGAACTCGGAGAAGATTCCTCACGAAGCTAGTCACTAGTGAGCACAGGTATTTTGCATTACGGGGTTGTGAAGATTGTTAAGTTACACATTTTTGAAACCATGAATCGATCAATGTTAGACCACCATTAGAAACCTGGAAGCACTGGACGATGAATATGATCAAGTTAGACATAGATACCGGCTCAGTGGTCTATCGGTTAGGGCGTTCGCGCACAATACCGAAGGTCCTGGGTTCGAATCCTGCGGGGTGCAGGAGTCGTGGATGCGCACTGCTGAGGAGTCTCATACCAGGACGAAACGGCCATCCAGTGATTCCGGGTTTCTAACGGTGGTCTAACATTGATCGATTCATGGTTTCAAAAATGTGTAACTTAACAATCTTCACAACCCCGTAATGCATATTGGATATATGTCTGTTGTTATCATATCCATTATTTGAATAAAAAATAAAAAATAAGAATTGTTGGACTGATTGACAATCAATCTATGTGGTAATGCATAGAAATATTTGAAGATAAATTTACTTGGGTGTCAAAATCTCATGATTATAAGTGATTGTTCTTAGTCGTACGAAATGAATATAAGATGACCATAACTTGTATTAACATCAGATCAATGACTACTGTCCTGCTTGTTTGTGACGATCATCTAATGATTTAGTCACCTTAAGTGAACTACTTTGATTAATGTTTTGTATAGCACTACATTGTACTAATCTGTGAACACAAAACTGATTATCAACTTATACTGAAACGATATCCCATAATATGAAACAACGATCTAACTCTGACTACGCAATATATGACTAGAATATCAAAAAGGAAATCAGTAATTTACTGTATAAACAATGGGTTTATAGAAATAACTTGGTAGTCCAATGGAAAAAAAGATAAATTGATTCTAATCAATCTTAATGTATACCTAACCTGTGTGATGATACCTATGTAATTTATGACTATCTTCTTGTGCTTATATTCACAACAACTATGCACACAGTAGATTGTTGAATAGACAGTGTGATACATACATAAGAGATTTGTGTATAAAACACATGATAAACAACTTTAAAAATGTATTAAATTGATCAAGTTTCAAGTTATTAATCATTAAAGTTCGTTACCTCTAATAAATTCGATATAAATCAGATACATATTATGCGAGGTTATTATGTTTAATTTTTCTTCCTTCATTACTTAACTAAAAGGAAACCATAGTTGTGGTAAGAAGTTTATATATGAAGTCATACCACCTAAAGTTTATTGACCTCTATAGTGACTGCTGACATGTCTATTTCCATATTGGTATTCCTTAAGTTACATGTGTAAAAAACATTCCTACCAAGTAAAGAATTTAAAAAAATACTCACTGAGATAACCTATTCAGACCAATATCAAACAGCGCATTGTGTGTGCAGTCTTAAAGTTTACAAAGCAAACTGACCTTAATTAGATAACCATTGAAATCTATGAAGCGACCCACAATTAATTCATCCTAATATAGAATTCAGCAACGCACATTCATGAACCCTAACTTCCAATTGTTGTCTAAGATCAGTGTCCGTGAGGTAAACTATAAGATTTAACAGTTTCTACAAACCTTGTTTACTGACACTGTGTAATATCCTACGAACTACATGCTCCCTCAAACTATATCTTATAAGGAATCAAAAGTGTGTAAGTTCGTTTAAAGAGACTTAAAATCAGATCATCTGGTGCATCAATCTTATGAAATGCATCGTTCAATCAAACATAGGTAACATAATAAACTAGAGCAAATGGACTAGTTCAAGTTACTTCAACATGAATTCATCTAACTAAGGAAAAAATTAAGCTAAAAATAATGGTAATAACAACGATGCTAAACCAAGCATAAATCAGTGCAACTCAAAAAAAAAGCGAATGAGACTGAAGAGCGAAAAGTACCGAATAATACCAAATTCAAAATTCAGAGAAGAATAAAATGTATAAATGTAAATCACATCACTGTGATAGATATTCAGCAATATCGTCTTTAGTCATTTCAGTAATTCATCAAATCAATATTTTCACCATAATACACAAGAAAACCTAATGAAAGAAAATTAATAATCTTTCATTAAAATTTAAACAAAAATTAAAACTTACAAAATTTAGTCGTAATCCTAAAGGATTTGAATTGAATATATCTACCCAATGATGAACACATGGCCGAGATAATGTATCCAAATCGGGTAATTCTAATTCTGGTGAAATATTCAAATCTTCCGAAAATTTATTTGTCACATCACGTACACTTAAACGCATCCATGCAAGACAATCTGAATCTAATGTACTGAATGCATATGTATTATTACTATCAGACATTTCAGTAATTCCAAAACTGTCAAAATCTAAATGATGTGTTGGTGATAATCCAAATGGTTTATTATCATAATTATGATAATGATGATGATGTTGATGATGATGATGATTAGTATTGCATGAATTATTTAAAAAGTTTATATCATCTGAAAGAAGTGAATCTTTACTTTGACATCTAGACTGATTATTATTGACATTTTTACAAACATGTTGATGTGTATCATGATCACATTGATATCCAGTTTCAATTTTCATTCTATAATGATTTTCATTTGAAATTATATGATTACTATTATTAACAAATAAACTTGGTGTTGTTTCATTTGCTTCAGATGATGATAAATCCAAATTCCATGGAACAGGTGGAGGTAATAAAAGAGAATTACCACATGTTGGAGAGATTGATCTACTATTTTGTTGATATTCATCTTTTCGATAATTTGGATCAACATCTGAATTATTAGAAGAAGTAGTTGTAGATGGAGCTATAATAGGAGAAGTGATTACACCTTGATGATTGTCTAGTAAAGGTGATGGTAATACAATACCATTATTGTCTGAACGATCACTAACAGATGAAGAGAAATTGATAGGTGATGGTGTAAACCGTGAAGGAGAGAAGTGCTCTTGAACATTATTATTATTATTATTATTATTATTATTATTATTATTATTATTACTATTGTCTGCAGTAAATTGAGATGATCCTGTAATCGGTGATACCTTTGTACAGTCAGAAGTAGGCTGTGAATAATTTTCTTCACATGAACGATGACGTGGATAGTGAACATGAGAAGTTTGATTATCGTTTAAATTAGTTTCCAGTGGTAAACTTGGTCGACTTAGTAAAAAGTTCGATTTTAGTCTAGCTGGTGATACATTAATTGGACGTACTGTATCATAACTGGAATTAGTTTGAATTGACTCTGATTGAGAATTGGAATATATAGTATCAGAATGATTGAAATGAGAATTTTGTGTGTTGAGATAATTATTAATTAATTCATTTGAAGAAACAACTTCATTAGCTGACTTCACAAGTGCACAATCATTGTTATTATGACACTCCTGACTTCGACTACTTGCTTTGGTTAATTCCGCTAAATGACAACCAATCGGTGCACCACTTGTAGGAGTTGTAGCTTCAGTAACGATGAGTCCAGTAGAAGAAGTAACAACCTATGAAACGAAAATATATCAATAAACAAGCAAATGGAACACTTATTTTTGTATACAAAAGCTAAACCACATCATTAAAATGCATAACAAATGAATGAAAAGTACACTTGTTAGAAAAGATTAAGTACAAACTAGAGCTTTCCTAAGGCTATAATAAATAATTACTCTTAATCTCGATAATGATTCTGTAACTGGTCACCATATCTGTAATAAACTCGTAAATTGGCTATAATATGGTATATTTATCACTTCAAAGAACGACATATGGTTTCAAGCAATGAATTAGTCTTTTAAATATTTAACTCCAAACTTTAAGTACTTATGAGCGTTTCTGGGATTTAAAAAAAATTTTGTTGACATGAAATATTCAGTCAATTTATCTAGAAAAATATTGAAGAATGAAGTTTACCCAGAATTATGGTTAGAACGAATCATTCGAATCCACAAACCACATCATAATACTAACCTGCAAATCAGTGTGCTTGTAGAAAAATATAGAGTTTAATGAAAAAAGCAGACAATATGCCAAAACCACACTTTTTTCAATGTAAATATCTTTCCAACATCTGCAGTATATGGTAGAACTACTTAAATAAGTTGATTCTTTTTTAAATTATACTCATTGATAATATGGGAATCCTCAGTGTTTGTTAACAGCCACCATATATATATATATATATATATATATATATATATATATATATATATATATATATATATATATATTCATGAATGAATAAAATGTTCAAGCAGAAATATAAACTTGATTACAAAATCTCTAAATCTGGACAGACTAACGTGTTTGATCGAATTTCTGCATCAACCGAACTCGGCGGTTGAAATATCTAGTAAACAACAAGTGATTTACTACCTGTTCCAAATTATCTTAAAAGAAATTGATATGAAATTGATCTAGACTTTGAGATGAACTATCAGAACAGTGGAAAAATTAACACAAACGTACCAAATTAATATTATTAATTCTAAATATGTAATAAAGAGATTAAAGAGATATTCAAGTACATAATTTTTTAAATATTCATAGTTCAAGATAAATATGATATATGTAACTCACCGGAGCATTTTGATGATAATACCTTGAAAGGTTTCGTGGATGCACAGGTGGAGCTAAAGAAAAATCGATGGAACAAAGATCGACATGAGTACAACATCGTATGATTTTTCTTAGCTTATAGAATATAATGTAGTACATATAAGATATGAGCACTTTATTTTATAAATATCTCCATATTCTCACGGAAGACCAAAGCTGAAGAGTTCACTTCCCCTCTCAAAAAACTCTTATATGGCCATGAGTTTAGTCTTTGTCAAGGATGGCCTACTGATTACTTCCAAGTGACAAGAATGTGGTTTACGAAAGTAAAAGACAGAAAAGTAAACATCTGGTGCTGACACTAGGTTTTTCGGTACGGAATGTCTACCTAAGAAAGTTGGAAAACTTTGGTTCTAAACCAACGCTTCAAATAGGCTCCAGGACCTTACAGGAGAAAATAATACATAAACTTATACGGTAGTTGTTGCGAGTAGTCAAGAGCAGACCCTGAACCTATGCTTTGTGTTATTTGCACACATAAGTAAAGTATACCCGCAGTAATGAAGGAGCTGATGAACCTTTATGGACTTGACATATATGATATTGGTCGTTACTCAGTGATCAACTAACTGTCAACACATTTCAACCCTATAGGGAATCAGCTGTGGTTTGAAAGCTTCAGTGATAATTTCTCTGACTATGGAGCTAGGTGACACGGGATAGAACTCGCCAGGGAGAATCAGTTCAATCAAGATTACAAGTACACTTTGCTAACGAGTGCCAAACAACGCGTAATCTAGATCGAGGATGCTTTTTTAAAATAACTCCAACTACCTTATGTCTCAAAATGGAGCCACATTGCAACATGATCGATAGTATTGAATCAATTCTAGGAAGGATGTGACATACACGTCACTGATCGTTACTCAGTGATCAATCAATTGTAAAAAGCATATAAGCCTCTTTCAATCATCGGCTACCTTGGTATTACTTCCATCTTGAAATAAGTCGTTTTAGGTTTGTGTTTTGTTACATACCATACTTATTCACTTATTTTGTTTTGTTTTTTTCATATTTTACTCTATCTCCCCTTGATTTCTTCAAAATGTTATCTCTTTATTTTATGAGGAGTATACTTTTTTGATGCCCAGTGGTACGACATTTTGTGCATATTAAATACGTAAATAAACATGAACTAATTTTCAATCTGAACGTTGTCAATCATTACTAAATTATTTAAACATTTTTGTTAAAGCAAAAACCGAAACACTTTAATGATAAGATTATATAAATATATTTATATTTAACTATTTATAATATATTGACTTTTTCTTTATATTGCGAAAAGCTAAACTATATCAATTGTATAGCTTAAAAAGATTAACATTAAGCTATTCATTGTTAATCATTACACCATGACAGTTAGAGATAAGTCAACGTTTCAAAGGAATAAAATAAAATGAAAGATAAAGTGAAATACAAAACAAAAATTGGATTGATAAACATGTTTATTTGATAAACTTTCGAAAGATATAACATTGAGCATTGAATATCGACCTAAACACGCTAAACGGCATATATTTCTCAGTTGGAGTTTGGACGATAATAGTTGTAAAAATTAGGTGACATAAATCAAGACTGGCTACAACGGTGTGAGATGTAAATCATAAACAATGTAGAGCCTAAGATAAATATGTGTTGACCTAAGCTGCCATACCATATTAGTACAAAAGCGAAAAAGTTAAGAGGAATGGTGAAAGTCAAATTAATTATAGTTGCAACGACAATGAAACAGACTAAAAATTAAGAATATAGTTTGAGAATACAAAATGAAAATGTATTTTATCAAAGAATATCGTTTTAAATTTTTATCCCTCTGTTGAATCCTATCTTTTCTAACTAAACGTAGACATATAGTTAGTATCAACTTCGTTGATACCCTCATATAGACTTATCAAACATGTTTACTTTGCTTATGTAACGATTTAAATCAAGAACTGTTTTTTATCAGTCAAATATCTCAGCACCTACATTCGCATGAGCCAAAATACAAGTAGTTTTACAGTCCAATATCAACAAATAGTAATCACTACAAGATCCATTATTTCAGCTTGATATATATCAACGTTCACAGAGTTCTAAACTAAGATATATTGAATAATTTGAACTCGTTAGTTTAAAAAAAATATTCTTTTTATATTAATGATTCACGATGTAAACTTCCCGGTATAACCAGTAAACCTACTAAATATGTGTACTAGTGAGATAGCTAGTCTGATATCATAAAAACGGTGACTTGGTTTGCACAAGAAATATTTAAGGTAAGAGTTATTTAGAAATCAAAATATCTGTTCCAACAGACAGAACGTGATACTAAATCTAGGAATATGTTCTCAAATAATCAATGTTTATTACAGAACAGGTGAATACACGTACTCCATTAGCTTAATAGATAATATACTGCGATTCACAGCCGAGATTTTCCACTATTCATTCATTCAACCATCGAAATTTTAACAAAGAAAATCATTAGTCGATATCCAAACAAAGATTATGGGGTTTAATCAGTATGGACCAGTAGTCCTTGGGAATAGTAACAAACCAAAGGTGAGACAGTTTTACAACAAAAATATTTATACAGTATGATACATAACAATAATAATAAGAAATAGAAGCTGAATACAACATAAAAACAAATTTTGTTTTTATTATTTCATAACATACATTTGAATTATTTTATTTACATCGATAAATCAAGGATAAAATGACATGCGTTCAATTGAAAGCAAAAATAACCACTACACATGACTCATCAGTTAACTGTATTGATTAAATGCCTACAATATTGTATCGAATAAAGAATGAAACGAGATAAATATGTGATTGGACAAGTGGAAATCTGAACAAAGGTTACACTAAACTAAAATAAAGGTCATTGTTCTATTTTAATCTAACTGATTTATATTATTTCTTTTTGAAAAATTGATAATATTTAATTCACAAAGAATTAGAAACGAAATTTGAAATGGATAGACTTTGATCTATTGTAAAATAATTAACGTTTTTTCTCTTCAAAAAGGAATTAGAAACTTGGTCAAATCAGTTGAGTTTCATTGAAATCATGGATTGATCAGTGTTAGTGACCACTATTAGAAACCTGTAAGCACTGGATGGCCGTTTTGTCGTAGTATCGGACTTATCAGTAGTGCGCATTTACGACCCCACTAGAAGTTACCCACTGAATACAATGGATGGATGAGGTCTCGCAATACTATGGACTGATTGAAATCAGACATTAACGGCATTGGATGCCGGCTCAGTGATCTAGAGGTTAGACGTTAGCGCGCGAGACAGATCTTGGGTTCGATTCCTTCTTGAGGGTTTATGGATGCGCACTGCTCAGTCCCATACAAGGATGAAATGATCATCCAGTGCTTAAAAGTTTCCAATAGTAGCCTAACACTTCAATATGTCGAATGTTGTGAGTCAATTATTCACAATCAACGTAGAACCTGATACCATATATGTATGTGGTGACTAAATTAACGCGATAAATAGCAACAAAGTGAAAATAATTACAGTATCATTAATAGTGAGCACGACTAAACATTGGAAATAGTATCGGAGAACCCTAAATGAAAAAGTATGTATTAAGAAATATAAGAGACTAAGATCTAGAAAAAGATAAATAGTGAATGTATTTGCAATGGATTCTGAATTATATTACTCCACATCTCTATGGTTATCAGGTTAACTCTGATCAGATAGTCTCTACAGTTAATGATTTTATGTACTGGTGCCATGTCTCAGTTTGAATTAATATTCAATTCGAGTCCAAACAAACCATGTAATGTCTAAAGGTACAGCTTCACTATGAGTTAAAGAAAGTATGACTTATGTAATGAATTCAAGGTACTTAAACAATTCAGTCAAAACAGTAAAGATGCATTATTTGAGTTGACAGAGGGGGACCAAAGCAAAGACTAAAAAGTTATTAACCAGTAAATGAATGTTCTAAACTACCAAATTCCCTTTTGATAACTGATACACTTAGTTTAAATATCTAAGTGCTTCGGTACAATTTTCAGCCTATAACAATTTCAATCTTTATCTGTCAACCAAGGGTAAATGAATTGATATGGATTTTAGTGTTTTAACTGACGAATATGCATATGTCTATATTCTGGTCATATTTCGTTAAATGGTGTCAATAGGCAATAAAAAAACCCTTAAAGCAAACAAACTACTTGACCAACTATTGATGAAGATAGTTTATATTATGTAGACTATCAAACTTTATAGCTTTTTTCCACTTTTAGACTGGTATCTCCTACTCCCCAATCACAATGAAATTTTTAAACAAACCTAAAAAACCAACCACTTTATTTGCTATTAATTTTAAGGTGTTCAACTTCCAGGTACTAAGTCGTAGGTTCGAATCCTGTTTGGGCGACTAGGTGAAATCATTAGAACTTCACTAATAGAATAGGGCTCAAAATCAAACACTCAAATCTACATTTCGTAAGTGAGTTGATAAGGAATAAGAGAAAGTTTTACACTTTGATTTCACTTCGCTGATTTGCTTCAACTTGCGTAAATCCCCATTAGATAATTTCATAGTTAAGAATCCTTTGATTATTAGAAGAGGGAACAAAAGTACTGGTTACCTAAAACTTGATAACATGTAATTATATTGATAATATTCATTTGACAGATAAATGATGACAAATAAAGAAATCAAATCCACATTTTCCTAAACACACTACCAAACAATAATTACAGTATAATATGATATCTTGTAGATTATCGGTCACATTGTAAACCAGGTCAGTAATATAGAATAAGCAGAATGATATTTCTCAATCAGCGTAGAACAACCGATTAATGTTCACAATATAAATTAGTGACCTGTAACATATCAGGTAAGATTACATTCTAAACGCACATAAAGAATCCTGATAAAAATATATCTGCAGTGAAGTTATAGATGGAGACATAACTATTCAATGTGCCTTTCTTTTCAATAACTGTCAGATTGATATTAGACGTATGACTAAAGCCAACTACCTACAGT